CCCCTGAGCCTGCCGTGCCCTCCCCCCGTCCCCCCAGAGCCGCCTGCACCCACGAAACAGGTGATCCGAAGATGTGGGGAGGGAGCGGGAGGTGCTGATCGGTGGGCAGGAGGTGGGAGGGAGCTGATGGGGGGGGTGGGCTGCTGACAAATTACTAAGGCTCTTTGGCAACGTACATTGGTAAATTCTGGCTCCTTCTCAGGCTCAGGTTGGCCACCCCTGTACTAGGCGCTGTACAAACAGCAGTCTCGTGTAAAATATGCACGAGCCTAGGGATTCTGCAGCATGCATGTTAAAGGCAAACCAGACTAGAGCTTGCTTACCGATACTGCTGGTTCACTGCAGCTTTTCCCATGGGAGGAGTTTCACTTAGCACAGGAGAAGGAGGTGAAGAGTGTCCAGACCCCACAGAGCCAGGACGGAAGGACGTGCTTTTCTTGGCCACTTGCTTTCTGGACTGAGCCAGCTGACTTTCGGGGCTTCTATACAAAGGAAGAAGAACGATGCACGATTTCAAGGCCAGATGCTCACAGGAGTGGCAGGGATTAACAAACAGAATTTGGCACCTAAAACTCTATGAAAATTCGTGACCCTGCTCAGCCCACTGCTGCCTGCCAGAAACAAACTCAAGCAAAGATTTTCTGTGTGATGGTATAATCCGTTCAACCCAATAGAATATGTACAGGGATACAGGGAATCCCAGGTTGAATATAAAGATTACATTTTAGAAATGTTGTTGGCACACAGGGGATTTCTGGGAAGTGGGGTGGGCACTTGAGAGTATTACACTAATTTCAGGCGTTTCGGAGAAACCTGGACAGCCAAAGATCCCTAGGCTGGCAGAAACAAAGAGCCTTTGGGATCTGTACTGGTGGCACTTTTCAGCATCAATGAGAAATTAAGAAGTGTCCCAGTTGTAATGCTCTCCTTACCATCTCAGCTAGCAGCAAGAGCGAGGGGAATATAGGTCTCCTCTCTTGACTGAGCTGTGTGACTCAATTACAAAAGGGAAGCCCAACTGCTGAGTGAAGTAGAACATCTATACCGGAAGATGCCGGGCGCTCAGAAGAGCGCAATTAAGGCTCATTCTTTGCAGAGATGATGGTAGTTTCCCATCCAAATTACACACCGACTGACAGAATGCACCATATGTGAAACCAACCATTGTATGTCAACCATTGGGGGGGCAGAGGGGCTACATTTATATAAAACAAGTTCTAAAATCCAGGACCAAGAGACATGTCTGTGAACACATAAATCCAGGGGAAAATGGCTTGAAGAGACTGTTAGCCTGAAGCACTTGCAATCCCAACACTGTGGCATTGCACAAGAACCTGAAAGTGAAGGACTAGAAATCAAAACAAGACCAGGCAACGTCAGTGAACTAGGAGTACACAAGACACCAAGGCAAAGATGCCGTTTTTTCAGTTTTAATAATCATAATCTTAAAAGTCTTTACGAGTAGGATTTTTAACCCAGCCATGTCCCTTTGAACAGCAGCAATACTCGAAGTACGGAGTCTGTTTTTAGTTTATACTAGAAACTATCGTCTTTGCAGCAGTGTGCCACACTAAAGGCAAAGGGGCTTAGAACAACAGCTGTAGTCCGAGCCACTTATCTGCAACTATGTGCTTCGAAGACCGGATCTTTAAAAAAATAAAAAAAAATAAAAAAGATTTAAGATCCCAGAGCA